TAGCACACATGTTGGCTCCAGAGAGAACACTTAAGCATCTTTTGGCTCCCGAGGTGGGCACTTTAGCACATGTTTTGGCTCCCAAGAGAACACTTTTGCACACATTTTGGCTCCCATGAGAACACTTTAGCACACATTTTGGCTCACGAGGTGGGCACTTTAGCAAATATTTTGGCTCCCAAGAGGACACTTTAGCACACATTTTGGCTCCAGAGGTGGGCACTTTAGCATATGTTTTTTTTCAACTATTGTGCCACAAAGTGGTGAACACCACTGCAGAGATGGATGGAGCTGGGGTTCAAACCCGCGACCAGCTGGCTGCAATTAATCAGGATTTTGGTGATGCATTTCAAGAGGAGAGAAAATGAAAGTTTATAAATTTCACTGATAATAAAATTTTAATTGTTTTGTTCAATGCAGTTCTGGGAGTTTTGGAATACATCTCCATTAGTTTTGCATATTTATATATTTATTTTTGCTTACAAAAACAGCTTAAGCTCAGTCATTTTTTTTAGGCCAGACTATTTTTGTATTTAATAAACCTCAAAATCTAAAACTGCTTCATAGCCACACATCACCATCATGTTTAGATTATTCTAACCAGAATATCTTTTTTGCAGTGTTTTCTGGGCCTAAATGGCTTCTGGCATATATTAATCTCATATAGTTTTCCTCCTCTCCCTCTTCTATTAAGCTCCTCAATTTTATCCCTAACCTGCAAGCTACACTTCTCAGATTTTCATTTAGGAACCATGTATTGTTTCCTTCTACTTCGACTGTTGATCTGATACAGTCTTTATAAAACACCCCGAGGTTAGTAGCTGTCATGCATGTACATGTAGGAAGGTTTACATCAAGGTGCTGTAAATGAACAGGAAAAGAATCAGACTAAAAGGAAAGAATTGGCCATTCAAAAGTTTATTAGGGTTAAGAAATGTCATAATTGAACAATATCTCAATTGTTACTTGGAACATTATCTCTCAATAAATAAAGGATACACAGTTTTGTAGCTTTGAAAAGAAACAAAGTATTTATAAGAACTGTGCTTAAGCAGCTAGGAACAGAAGTGCATTCATTGTTTGGGGAAGTTCTTTTGCCCTGGATTTGTGACGATGGACATTTCAAAGCTGTCAGTATGTCAAAGATTAGAATTACAGGCCCTTGTCTGCAACTCGTTCAGATTATCCATAGCGACAGGATTTGCTATAAAAGAAGTACATGCTTTAGCTGATGTTCTTAAAAACCAAAAAAGCAACAATAAATGCATGGCTTTAGCTTGGCAAATAATACATCTTTATCCAGGAACACTTTCTAATGATTGTCCTTTATGGATTAAAAAAAAGAAAAAAACTACCAAGACCGCATGGCATGCCACCGGCTGTGGCTTTTTAAACACATTCAGATTTATGTGCAATACTGCAGGTTTTTGTTTAACTTAATGCTACTTCACAAGGCTAAATCAAACACTATAAGAAAAAAAAAACATTCATTTATAAAAACACATGTATTATATAAATATATATGCCAGTGATTTCGTCCTTCTTTAAGTCTGGGCTGATTTTAAAAAATGATACATTTTAAATCCATTGGGTGGAAAACCAAAAAAAGTTAACAAAGAAAAGGTTGGCACTGCTGTCAATTAAAATCTAAGCAAAACATCAGCATGTTCAATATATCAGAGCTCAAGTATTTTCATACAAAGTAAAAGACAGTTATGAAAATAAAACAAACACTGTAAAATAAGATGGTGCATTTGAACAAAGAACAAGTTTTCCTGCAGATTCCAGCCGGTCTACAGCTTCCTCCTGTGAGACTAATAACCTCAATGACATCTGA